TGTGTGCGTGTGTGTGGGGGGGTCTGTGAGTGTCTTTTTTTTCTCGTTTTTATGTTCTTTATTTTTTTTTAAATATATATGAACTTAAAAAAAAAGAAATGGGGTCGTAGATCTCCAAAACATCTACAAGACTATATTTTTTATTATTTATTTGGTCAATTTTTTGCCTGCAAAAAAATCTTCGTATTGTTTTTTTTGTTATTTTCTTTCTTTTATATTTTTGTTTTTTTTTTAATATAGAAAAACTTCAAAAAATAAAATAAAAAACATAAGGTTGTAGATCTCAAAATTATCTACAACCAAACAAACCAAACAAAAAAAAAGTGAGTTAGCGCTGCGGTAACGTAGTGCTAACGCGCCACGAGGGGAGGCACTAGCAGCGGTGCATCGCTAAGTGGCCTAGCGCTGAGTGCCCGAAGTTGCTGGGGCTACAGCTAGGGTTTTTCCCAGCCTAAGGCCACCATACCTAGTCGGCTCTAGTCGCCCATGGCGACCATGTCCATGCATTGTGGATGTGGAGCTTGTCCGGCATGCCCCGAGGAGAAGGAGTGCGTGCTGGCGGCGGGTGTGGTGGCTGCGTGTGATAAATGGATGACTTGGAGCGCTGGTGCATCCCTCCTGTTATACGCTATTTGCAACCAAGATCAGTGCGCGATTGACGCTGCTGGTCTCAGATATGGAGCTTTATTCTCAACAACACATCGATACTGCCAAGGTTTTTTCCATTGAGACGGCTGTGAGCTTCCTTGATTAGCACGGATTGGTTTTCCTGCACGCTGAGTCGCTTGGCCACGGGAATTATGGTTTCCCGTACGTCTTGTTCCTTCGCCAAGGAAAGCTGTGTGCTGACTTGCTGAAGACGACTGGTCTTTATATTTTGTTTTGTCTTGTGAGGTTAAGACTTTGGATTGGTGGAGCTTTATTTTCCATGTTTTCTTTCCCATCGCGACGGCTGTGAGCTTCCTTGATAACGCTGGGCCCGGTTCCCAGCACGTGCTGCTCCCCACGAATAGATTCGAGCCTTGTTTCCAAAAAGAAAAAAGAAAAAAAAGAAAAAAGAAAAAGAAAAGAGCTTCCTTGATAACATGGATTGGTTTTCCTGTACGCTGAGTCGCTTGGCTAGGGGAATTATGGTTTCCCGTACATCTTGTTCCTTTCCCAAGGAAAACTATGTGCTGACTTGCTGAAGATGAGTGGTCTTTATATCTTGTTTCATCTTTGGATTGCCGGAAAAATAAATCGGTTTACGCCCTAATAAAACGACTGCCTGTTGTTTTTCCCCTTTTATCTACTCGAGCGCTTGCTTGATTGCCATGAGTTTTATCGTGAGCGCATTCTTTATCGCCGCTTTAGGCGAATACTTGATTGATGTCATTGTAGTGGACTGGGAAATTCTTTAGTAGTAACCCTGGTAACCCTAATTACGAATTTTGTGGGAATTCATCGAAACCCTAATTCGGATTGGTTCGGTGTGGGTACTTCTGGCGTTTTTAGAGTTGGTATTGGGATTTCCAGACTTCTTTCCTATGAAATTAGTTGAGCCCTTTTTGGTTTTTTGAATTCCCTTTTTAGTGGAATTGCTGGCGACTCTAAATAGGGCGTTGTAGTGGGAGGGGTTTTGGCACTGGGCCCCAAACAAAAAAACTGTAATTTAGCCATTTCGGGTTCATTACAGTTAGGGTGGGTATTGGGCCCTACGAATTAGTAGAAACTTTAATTAGTAGGAAATTTGTTGTGGTGACTCTTATGAAATTTGTAGTGCTTTGGCTTTAAAAATTAATTGAAACCCTAATTAGGATTTTCTCTGTGGTGTTTTTTGGTATTTTTGGAAAACGGGTAGCGAGGATTTGGTAGCTTTTCTTTTGGAAGACAGTGGTTTTCTACAGGGGAGGGGCTCCACCCGATGAAGCGGGTTTTGGAGACCCTGCGACCCCTGAATCTGCAGCTCCTTGACATTGTATTTCTGCCTTGGGCACTGGGCCCTAATAAAACTACTGTTTCTTTTGGTGGGGGGACGTTTTTTTGAATTTTTTTTTGCTTATTTTTTTCTGGGAAAAAACATATTTCCGCGCCCCCTCCAACCTTGCTCAAGCGCTTTTGAGCGCGGGATGTAGCGGAGCTCAAATCAAAAATTTGAGCTCCAACCCCGCGCTCAATCAGCCCGTGGTAATGCAACTTCAGCAACACCAGATTAAAGGGTCCAAAAGTAAGGTTACAATTTACGTTTTTCCCTCTCAAGTGGTGGCTCCCTCCCACCTCACTTCCATCATTCCCACAACCAAGGAACCACATAATCCCTCCAGCGGACCAGCCCCACTGCTTAATTTAAGATATCGACCCCGCGAGTGATAAGTGTTGTTCATTTTAAACCACCAGTACCTCGCTCAGCTATCGGCCGCGGGCACTCCCGTATACGCGCCGCAGCCCTAGGGGGGTCGGCCGAGTGAAGGCCCGGTCGCTGCGCGAAGGCTGGGCTCCGCTTCCCTAGGATCGACACACTTGAGAAAACAAAAAAAAAGAAGGGAAAAAAAAAAAACAAATACACAAACGAAAAAAAAAAAACGAACGACAAAAAG